TTCTTGTTATCCTCACAGGCCGTAGGCTATACAAAGGGTTTCTGAAACTGACATTCCTAATGGACATTTTATAAAATTTGGCCCTTAGAATAACTGAGAAATATCCTGAAAAAAGTTTCCCTGAAACTGTAATAAAGAATGCTCATTTTTTTATTTTTATCTACTGATAAAGTTGACAACTTAGTAAACTATTTTCGCTGGTCTTCCCACGTAAGAAAAAAGCACAAATATAGTTGCCTTAGAAATCTGTGAAAAGCAGAAGACCTTGCAGGAAAGGAGTATAAAGATTCTATAAACGGGAGAGTCCAAGAAAAGCCTCTCCCCGAAATGTCCACAAAGATACATATGCCCGTTAGGAGAAAAAAGTAAGAATATACATACTATTAATCATATCAGAGAATAAAAAAGTTAAGAGTGATATAATATCTTTATATTGAATGACTACCTTAAAATAGAGCAAGTTATTTGCTTTATTTCTCAGATTCCTTGGGCAGGTCATCTAAATTCAGACACAAAAAACAAATGTACATTTCTCGTACTATCCCAGTATCAAGATGATGGTGGTTTCAATTCCCAGAGAGGAGAAAAATAAATTTTGCCTTTGGAGCCTTTTTTTTTTTTTCCTCACAAAAAAACAACTAAATCATCCCGCTGGCTACAAGCATGCATATTCAAAGCCCTTCCCCTTGATTAACATGAAAAAGAACATCTCTGGCCCAAGAGTTGCAATGATTTCTTTTTTTTTTCTAGCTAAAGGATCATCATTCTACAAAGAATCTGCCCAGCAATGGGCGTTCCGACAGAACAGACGTAGTATTTGCAAAGCACAGCTAAGTACACTGCCTTTTATGAGCATTTTTAAATAAAAAGGATCATACGAGAGTGTAGGAACTGGAAATTATTTCCATAGTTGAAAGAATCAATAAGATGCTGCTGGCTCAAGTTTTTCAAGATGGAAATCTCACCAAAATGCATTCAGCCTGTGAACGCGTTACAAACAGCAGGGTACCCAACGGGCGGCTCCCAGCTGCGCCGCCCCACCCCCACGTTACCATTTTAAGACATTCTGTCAATGTTCAGTTTAAAATAAGACTTACTTAAGAGACAAAAAAAACTTAAACTTTTATTGACGCCTATCTACTGGCAGGAATACATCGTGTATCGTATTTTGTTGTAGACATTCAATAAAGAATTTATTAACAATGATTTTCACAATGCATTCATCAAAAGAGCCTTAAGCATTGTTAAAAGGGCATTCGAGCGCCTGTCCTGAGTTCTAGCAGGTTTTCAATTTTGATCGCCAACCACTGCTCTCTAGTTTTCCCATCGAGAATTTCGGCCACATAGCTTTAAAGAATAATAAAATTTAGGCCAAATCAAAGCATATTACGAACTGACTGAAAAGTTTCTACCTCACCACAGAAAATGCCCAAGAGTCTCCTATGATTTAAAATGCAAAACACATGCAAAAGTTTTTAGATCTGCAAAATACACAGAATCAGCCTTATCCACGGGTATTGTGTTTTCAGTAAGTTTCAGAGCTGCAGCAGGGCTTGCCACGGAAATTCACCAGCCCCCACCCAACCACGGTCAATTAATTGCAAACCGCTGGTCGAATTTTTCGTGGCTAAAATAAACGTCCCACTCATACCACGATCACATGGGGGCGGGGGAGGTAAACAACTGCAGAAACCCAGTACTACTGGGAACCTCGTTAACACCACCACGCGCCCTTTCTTTCCCAAGTGTTCCACTGCGAGCGGACGGATCAGCGACCGGAAGAGAAAGCCACAAAGAAGAAAATCTGTCCTCCGCAGAGAAGGCTGGCGGCGGCGCGTCCCAGGGTGGGGGCTGGGGCCCCGCTCGTCCAGCCCGGGAGGGAGGCGGGCTGCTGGGAGGGAGGGCTCGGGAGAGGCCCAGGAGGGTGAGGGAGGGCGGGAAGGACGCGGCCCCTTCGGCCTAGAAGCGCTCGTAGCCACGCGAAAGCCTCCCTTGATCTCGCCAAATCTCAATAAAAAAACCAAGGCCCTAATCACTTCGGTAAATTTAAGAGTCGCCCTGATTTTTGCACCGAGTTTCAATTAGCCATAGCAAATCGCCTGCCTTGTAGGCCCCGCAGCTCTGACGAGCTGAGCTCCGCTGCTGGCTCACCCGGCCCCAAGGGCCTCCCCGCCTCCTTCCGCGCGCCCCCTGGGAAAAACGTGGCAAAGGCACCGATGAAGGGGGTGGGGAGGCGTGCAACCCACCGTGGGTGCGCGATCCCGCTGCTTTAGCCAGCCAGGGCTTGTGCAAGGGCTAGGGACAGGGCCAGGTATGGACAAAAGGGTGGGTGGGGGTGCGCTGCCTGAGCAACCGTCCTCAGAGAGCGACGAGCGCTCGCGGTGGGGAGGGGAGCGGCGGCCGCTTAAGGCCCGAGGTCCGAGGAGGGGGCTGGAGAACATCAACATGCAAGACACTTTTCCCGGGGCCCACCAGCAAGGAGGCGGGGTCCCGGGACGCCCTGGGAGGCCCCGGGGCGCCTCGGGAGCCCCCGCCCAGGCTTGGCTTTCTTCCTCCCGCCTCGAGACTCGACAGCTCCCCACCCCAGCGGGCGCGCGGGGACCACAGACCCCGCCTCCCCAGCAGCCACGGAAGTCTGACGCGCCCAGGCGCACGCACAGGCGGGGTTCGGAGAACCGAGCCGGTCCCCAGGCGCCCCCGGAAACCCACGAGCGCACCTCGGGTCACCCTGACGAAGCCACGCACCGCGTATGCCTGCGGCCCCCGCTTGTCTTCCATCCTCAACCCCCGCAGGGGACACAGACGCCAACAACCTCTCCTCTGTCCTCCCCATTTTCCTGGTCACCGCGAGGCCAAGAACGGTGCGTGAGCTCTCACCAGCGTCTGCCTCTGCGCACACGCAAGGGGGGGAAAAATCAAGACTCCAAACGGCCGTCTCCACCCTCCGATGGGAAGCTCGGGATCGGAGAACCCGGGGGCCGCGGTTCCCGCGACGCAAGGTCGGTTCCGGGCCTGCGCCGGGACTCACAGCCTTGCGAGCGTAGGACCCGAGCGCGCGCCCGGAGCAGCTGTGTGCAGAGTCCCGCGTCCGGTGGGTGGGGGCGGAGGAGGAGGTGAGAGAGGAAATGGGGTGGGGTGGAAGGGAAGGCGAGAGAGAAGCTCTTCCCGGTCTCACTCTCCTGGCGGGAGGAGCGGGGAGGGATCTTTAACGCGCGCCTGGCTCTCCGCTCAGCAGTCCCGCGCACCAACAGGCCACGAGTGCCCTACGACAAAAGCACCCCCGTAGGCCGCCACAAAGACTACGGGCCACGCGAGTTCTTATCAGTCCCAGCTGATTTATTAATCACCAAGATACAGACTTCCAGCACACACACACACACACACACACACACACACACACACACACACAAAACCCAAATCAAAACAAAACAAAAAACCAGGCAATGATGACAGCGCATTGAGTCTGCCTCGCCACCATTTGCTACAAAATATGCAGACGGTCTGTATTTTATTTAGATTATATTGCACAAAATGAGAAACTTTTTTAAAACTATGTGCCTTTTCTTCTTTTTTTGCTAAAAATCGAGAATCCAGTTTCAAACCTCCCACCTGGGGCCCCATCCACTATCACAGCGTATAATACATAAATCCCTACTATAGTACAGTACATATACAATCTTTAAACTAAGATAACAGCTCTGAGGTCTATATCACCATTTTCAATAAATCTTTACCTACAAATATGGAACAAATCTCTACTATAGCTGTACAAAAAAAAAGTCTGCTTTTTTTTTTTTAACCACAAGGCCTTTAAATGCAAGGATTACTTTAAAATTTTAATCCTTTTAAAAACCAGGATATAACGTACCAACAGCATGCTAAAAATTAAAAAAAAAGCCAGGAAAATAAATCAAAAGGAAAGAAGTGCCTGAAAGTCTTACTGAAAAAACACAGCAAGAATGTTCCCTTTTCACTGTACAAAAATACGCCTGAAAATATATTAATTTTTAAAAAAGGTTGAGGTCTGTTTATGTATCAAAAATGTTTCAATACCTTTGTACTGAGGTCTTAGGCTGTCTGGTATTCAATCAAAGAGGTATAGGGAACAAGTTACAAAACAAAAGTTGGCAAGTAGAAATCACATTTGTAAAACCATAAACAATTTTGATCTGAAAAGTAAACTCTGATCTTAGTCAGTTCACAGTTTTTCTTTTTGTGTAAGCGTTTGTACAGTCTGGATTCTTCAAGCTCCCTGCAGTTTTGTTTAAGAGTCGGATGCATAGAAGACATCAGTTTTCTCCCTCCAAAAGAAAAAAAAAAGAAAAAAAAAAGAAAGAAAAAGGAAAAAACCCAATAAAATAAAATAAAATCTAAAAAGTTGCAATGGTCCCTTTTTTGTTTTTTTTTAAAAAAACACCAGTTCGTTAAGATCTCTTAAGAAACAAGATCACCAGCTCCCCTGGGTAACAATTGTGCTGCCAAAGGGGTTCACGGTAGACGTCTTCGCCTCCCAACACCACCGGCCTCCGACTGCGCCTTCCGGAGCGGCGCGGCCTCCCCTCCCCCGCCCGCCCCGCCCCCTAACCTTTGTTGCAATCACGAATTTCAGGAAAAAGAAATAGTAGTTAAAAAAACACATTTTTGGGTTGGGTGTGGGGAAAAAAAAATCACAACTCCAGACTAGTATGCAACTATCTTGAGAACACGATCAAAGAAGGAAGAGGGTGGGGGAACCAATGGAAAAAAAAAAGGCGGAAGATATTTT